CATAGGAGAGAAAGAGCCTGGATAAGATTAATTGACTCAGTAACTGGGGTAAAGTGAGTAGGTGTGTTTGAAACAGTGAAATTGTCTCAGGATAGGGCAGGGTTCAGAGGTATTGTGCATAGTGCCACTGTCAATGGCACATAACAACAACAACAACAAATACAACAACAACAATAATAGTGTAAATGTTTAATGTGTTTGGCTGTTGACTGAAAACTTGGAGGTTCAAGTCTACTCAGATGCCTATTGAAAGAACAGCCTAGCAATCTACATCCCTCCCCTCCCCAATCGCTGTTCATTCTGGCGCACATGGTGTCACCATGAATCAAATTATACCTGATGATAGCTCTTTAAAAAAACCCCTCTAACAACAAGTATTAAGTGGGAAATACTTGCACAAAATTGAGTTAATTTCATTTTTATACTTATTGAGTCATATTCATATTTAACTCCACAAATATTTTGCTGATAGCTTTTGCACTGCAAGCTAATGGCCAGTGATGATCTTTTTTTGTATGTATAGTGTACATATACTTTGAGTACATGTACTCAAAGGTACAAAATCTTTATCAATCTAGCCACACTTTTGCTCAAGTGTAAATAGATTTCTCTATCTATCTATCTATCTATCTATCTATCTATCTATCTATCTATCATCTTTTTAACCTTAAGCAGAGAAATAGAGGGGAAACAGTTATTCGTTTTCACATATTTAAAGTAATTGTGGGCTTATGGATAGACTCATAGTAAACATTTGCTGAACACTGACATGCACAAGGTATTCACACTTAATAAAGTTTGAACTAATACTATGGATAGCACTTTTAGGAAAGTTTTATTAGATTTGGGATTGACTGAACCTGATAGTTGTTAGGTGCCTTTGGGTTGAGTGCAACTCATAATGACCTTTGAACAACATCATCAAAACTATGAGCTGTCTAGCCCCTTCCTCATTCATGATCAAGTCACTGTTGCAGTCATTTGTCAGTCCATCTCATTGAAGGTTTTCCTCTCTCTTGCTGACACTCTGCCCAGTATGGTACTTTTTTTTTTTACATTTTATTTTATTATATTTTGTGTCAAAACAGATCTGACTGGTACAGGAGGAGATTGCCCCTCCTTCTCCAGCAGAGCATCTTGTGGATCTGAACTGCGTACCTCTGGGATTGCAGTGCAGCTTCTTGCCAGTAGGTCACCAGAGCTCCCTTATGTATGATACTTTTTAAAAGGAACTGTTGCCTCTTGGCAACATGGCCAAAGGAGCACCTTGATTTACACTTTCTCCAAGGTATATGTGTTCCTCTTTTGGCTTTTCGTAGGCTATTCAGTACTCTTTTTTCCAACATCACAGTGCAAAGGTGTTGATACTTCCTCCTTATTCTTATCCAACTTTCACATGAATATGAAACAATGGAAAATGCCATAGTACACCTGAGTCTTTAAACTGACATTGTCCCTCTTGAGCATTGGATCCCCATGGTAAGCAGAATTGGGAGATCCGCAGTATTTTCTGCAAGCAAGGGTGTGTCATCTGTATAATACAGGCCGTTGATGACTCTTCCTTTAATCTTGATGCTACATTCTTTATATAGTGGACTTATAATAATTCTCAAGTTACTTGTTCAGCATATAGACTGAACAGGTAGAGTGAGGATAAAACCCTAATGCATATGTTTTCTGATTTTTAAATCATGCATTCTTCCTTTGTCTATGACTGCTTCTTGGTCTATATGTAGGTTTCACAGTATACCTCCCTTGGTTTGAGCAGTCAGGAAATAAGGAGATGCGTTGCACTGAGAAAATCTGTAGTTAGGGACCTTTTCAAATTTTTGAATGGTAGTGATGTCAGTTTGAGGACTCAGTTGTATCTGATTCAGGTCATAGTCTTTCCAATTATTAGCTATACATCCAAGGCCTGGACAGTGAGTAAGGGTGACAGAAAAAGAATTGACACCTCTGAGCTGTGGTGTTGGAGAAGAGCACTGAATGTCCATCCCATGGACGGTCAAGAGAACAAACAGATATCTCTTGGAGAGGGTGCAGCCAGAATGCTCTTTGGAGGCAAGAATGATGAGGCTTCATCTCATATACTTTGTGCATGTTGCTAGGAGGGGCTCTTCCTTGTAGAAGGACATGATGTTGGGAAGGGTTGTCAAAGGAGAGGAAGGCCTTCAACGAGGTGGATTGATGGGGTGACTGCTGCAGTGGGCTCTTGTGTGTCAGGAAGTGTGAGGATGATGCAGGATAGAACAGGGTTCAGATCTTTTGTTCATAGGGTCGGTATGAGGCTTGCTCAGCTCAAGGTCATCTAACAACAACAATAGTAAACTTAATTCATAAAAAAACTCAAAGAAAAATACCAACAAAAATAGTGTGTGTTTGTCTTCATTTGTTTGTAATTGTGAACACTAGTAAAAATGACTAGAATTTGAAATGATGATAAAATTCACATATATATATTTTACACATAT